GCAAAATTTGTGCATCCGCGACACCGTTATATGCCCTTTCACGCTGAAAAGGAAACGGCAGCGGAACCCTGCAGGAAACGAATCCCTTGAATTCCAACCCTCTCAGATGCACATCGATGGGGATGTATTGAGTCGTTTATCGATCCGAGGGCCGGGCTATCTAATGTACATGCTAGTTACGGAAGAGTTCTACAGTCCCTCGACTCCGGAAACTGGCTCGCCACAGGCCATTTATGAACGGTTTTTGGAGCTGTCGAAGGATCTTCTTGGGGAAGCCTCGAACCCGGTTGAAGATGTAATGAAGTGGCTCAAGCGCACATTACATGTGGGATTCTAGATGGGAGATTTTCGATGGATTGGAATGCACATATGCTGTACATTGAGAATAAAAACATAATGGAAGACCAATAAATTAGAAAGACTTGTTCTTTTCCCGAGTATATGCAGGGAATGTATCAATTACAGTGTGACGGGAGAAGGAAGTGGTTAATTTCGTCGGCGGAGGTACCTTGACGGCCTGAGGCGGCCAACTGGCGGCGTCTCGGATATCAAAGCTCAAGGATTTGTCCCCACCAAAACCATCCCAAAATTCTTATTACCCACTCAAAGGCACTCGTCGAGTCTCCAGCCTTGGACCTTATCAACCACAGGGGGAAAAGGTGCTCGTTATCTCTTTTCACCTCCGTCTTTCTTTTTAAATTTCCTTGTGGAGGAATTTCGGCTTAATTTGCCACTCTGTTCTTCGACGGCCGCAAGTAGCTGCCGGAGAATCTGATATTCTTGTTCGTGCTCCTGCCCACAACCCATTCATTCATCACCTACACGGGTGGCGCTTTCTTCCTCCTTGTTACTAACACATGTCCCATAGGAGTACTCAGGGATATCTCTACGGTCTTCCGCCAAGAAAGACGATTCGCCTCGATTGAACCCTCATCCGTCCGATCAGTAGCACGATATCTCCAAGATGGCGCCTAAGAAGAAGGGAAATAAGAGACAGGAGGCAGATTGGGAAGCCGAGCTCGGTGAGGCTGCCCCCGTAGCCGGTGGTGAGCCCGCCCCCCAGGAAGATGCCGCTCCCGCCGAAGAAGAGTCTGGCGGCGGTGGTCTACTCGCCACTTTGAGGAAGAACAAGGCCAAGAAGGGAAAGAAAGGCAAGCAGCAGAACGATTTCGTCGATGGTGAGGACGCACCTGCGGCGGACGAACCTGAAGACTTTGCCAGCAAGCAACCTGAAGAAGGTACTTTTGATGACGAGGATGACGTCTTCTCCAAGAAGAATCAGAAGGCTGCCCAGGCCGCTGCAAAGGCCGCTGCTGCGCCCAAGGAGGCCGAGGGTGAAGGTGAAGGTGAATTCCGTGTGAAGTCCAAGAAGGAGAAGGAAAGGGAAAAGAAGGAGAGAGAAAAGCAGCGGAAGAAGGAACAGGTATCTATTGGCCTTTTGGTCCCGGTCTCGGTCTCGATCCCGTTACACTTGCGCTAATCATTGAATCTACCATCTAGGCCGCTAAGAAGAAGTCTGAGAAGCCTCAGCAGCCTGCTAAGGCTGAGCCTGAGAAGAAGCAAGAGCACACACCCGCCGCCGCCGCTGCTGCTCCCACCCCGGCTGCTCCAGAACCTACTGGTGGCAAGAAGAAGAAGGTTCCTGCCCACCTTGCTGCTCTCCAAAAACAACAGGAGGCTCTCAGGAAACAGCGTGAGGAAGAGGAGCGACTTCTGGCCGAGCAGCAGGCTTTAGAAGAGGAAAGGAGACTCGCAGAAGAAGAGGAAGAGAAGAAGAGGGAGGAAGCCCGTCAGCGCAAGAAGGAGAAGGAGAAGGAAAAGAAGGAGCAGCTCAAAAAAGAAGGAAAGTTGCTCACCAAGGCCCAGAAGGAGGCAAAGGAGCGCAATGAGCTGCGTCTGAAACAGATGCTTGCTGCAGGTGCAGGCAAGGTTGCCGGCTTGGAAGACCAGGGTGCCGAGAAGAAGAAGCCTGTTTATGACAACAAGAAGAGACAGAAGAAGAAGGGCCCAGCTAAACAGGAAGAAGACCTGGAAGCTGCTGCCGCACGGGCTAGGGCGCAGCGTGAAGCTGAAGAAGAACGCCGAAAGAAGGAGGCCGAAGAGAAGGCGAAGGCTGAGGCTGAAGCCGCCGCCGCCGCCTCCGCCGCTGCTGGTGGAGAGGAGAGCGAACTGGACGACTGGGAGAAGGCTGCTGACGCAGAAGACGACGACGTGAAGGATTCATGGGACGCTCCTACGGATGAGGAAGACAATGCAGAAAAGCCAGCCACAAATGGCGCCAACAAGACTGAGCTCCCTGAGAGGCCTGCTGCAGGTCAAAAGAAGGCCGACACCAAGGAGGAGTCGTCTTCCGAGGAGGACTCCTCCGAAGACGAGTCTGATGAAGAACAGTCTGCAGCACAGAGGGCCGTTGCTCAAAGGAAAGCGGAAGCCGCTGAGCGCAGAAAGAAGCAGCATGAAGAGGCGATGGCAGCTCGCTCAAAGGATAACCTGCGTTCCCCCATCTGTTGTATTCTGGGACACGTCGATACCGGTAAGACCAAGTTGCTGGACAAGATTCGTCAGACAAACGTCCAGGAAGGCGAAGCTGGTGGTATTACTCAGCAGATTGGTGCTACTTACTTCCCTGTGGATGCTCTGCGTCAGAAGACTGCTCCTGTGAACAAGGATGGTTCATTCGAATTCAAGATTCCTGGTCTGTTGGTCATCGATACCCCCGGTCACGAGTCCTTCTCCAATCTGCGTTCCAGAGGTTCTTCGCTTTGTAACATCGCCATCTTGGTCGTCGATATCATGCACGGTCTCGAGCCGCAGACCCTCGAGTCCATGAGGTTGCTCCGTGACCGCCGCACTCCCTTCATCGTTGCACTGAACAAGATCGATCGTCTGTATGGCTGGAAGAAGATCGACAACAACGGCTTCCAGGAGAGTTTGGCTATGCAGAACAAGGGAGTCCAGAACGAGTTCCGTACGCGTCTTGAGCGGACCAAGCTCCTGTTCGCCGAACAGGGGTTCAACTCCGAGTTGTACTACGAGAACAAGTCCATGGCTCGCAATGTCTCTCTCGTGCCGACTTCTGCTCACACTGGAGAGGGTATCCCCGACATGCTGAAGTTGCTGACTACTTTGACCCAAGAGCGTATGACCAACTCGCTCATGTACTTGTCGGAGGTCGAGTGTACTGTTCTTGAAGTGAAGGTGATTGAAGGTCTTGGTACAACCATCGATGTTGTCCTCTCCAACGGTATTCTCCGGGAGGGTGATCGGATCGTACTATGCGGTCTCAACGGTCCTATAGCAACCAATATCCGAGCGTTGCTGACGCCCGCACCTCTGAAGGAACTTCGTCTGAAGTCACAGTACGTTCATAACAAGGAAGTCAAGGCCGCCCTTGGTGTTAAGATCGCAGCCAACGATCTCGAGCAGGCCATTGCTGGTTCTCGGTTGATGGTCGTCGGGCCTGATGATGATGAGGAGGACATCGAGGATGAAGTCATGTCTGATCTGGAGAACCTGCTGAGCAAGGTTTCCAAGGATCAGCGTGGTGTCAGTGTCCAGGCCTCGACCCTTGGTTCCCTCGAAGCTTTGCTTGAGTTCCTTCGTGTCTCTAAGATCCCCGTTGCCAACATCTCCATCGGCCCTGTTTATAAGCGTGATGTGATGATGGCTGGTACGATGTTGGAAAAGGCTAAGGAATACGCCGTCATGCTATGCTTCGATGTTAAGGTTGACAAGGAAGCGGCAGCATATGCCGAGGAAGTTGGTGTCAAGATCTTCACCGCAGACATCATCTACCATCTGTTCGATGACTTCACTAAGCATATCGCTGAATTGACAGAGAAGAGAAAGGAAGAGAGCAAGATGCTTGCTGTCTTCCCTTGTGTTCTCCATCCCGTTGCCATCTTCAACAAGAAGGACCCTATCGTCATTGGTGTCGATGTCATTGAAGGTAGCCTGCGGATGCATACACCACTTGCTGCCGTTAAGTCCAACCCAACAACCGGAGCCAAGGAGATTATCGAAATTGGCAGAGTGTAAGTCATTTTCCCCCTTTTCTCTATAACCCCGGCGCCTTACTAATGTCGGATTATAGTGTATCAATTGAACGTGATCACAAGACAGTCGCCGTGGTCAAGAAGGGTCAACCCTCTGTTGCTGTCAAGATCGAAGGAGCTAACCAGCCCATGTACGGACGTCAACTGGAAGAGAAGGACGCCCTGTACTCTAAGATCTCCCGTGCCAGTATCGACACCCTTAAGGAGTTCTACCGTCCGGACGTGACGATGGAGGAGTGGGGTCTTATCAAGAAGCTCAAGCCCGTGTTCGACATCCCTTAATTTGTACGAACTTATGACCCACCATAGCCCGGAGACCTACGAGGTCCTTGATGGTAACCATGAGGCATTTGGCACTTGGCCGTTTGCCGGAGTTTCGGGCAAACTCAACTATGGGTAACGAGCTATCCGGCATGTGCCCATATGTATACGTTTACCATATAGCGATGTGATTTCTTTATGTGCCGTGATGAATTAATGTACTACGTCGAAGTAGTGCATGATGTGATGAAATAAAACGGAACTGGTTAGGGATAACGTGTGTTAAAAAATGGGCAACGGTTATCTCTGGGGTTAGGCTGAGATGGAGAAAAAAGAATAAAAGTCACCTAAAAGACCTGCATGCATGAGGAATTATCACGACTGGGTTGTCCAAAAGCAAGATGTCTGTACATGAAATGGATTTCAAGAGGCCGTGGTCGATACCAATAGTTATGCTTGTTAATGATACTTGCGATTTAGTTCAATGCATTGGATTTCTTTTGACTTCTACCATATGTGAGTAATATAGACGATTTTTACAACGAGACCTCACTTTTCCAATAACCATAGCCTACCCATCTAATACAATATATACAACCACCCCCAACCTTCCCCAGAACCCTACCCCGAAAGGCTCAGAACGGAAGAAAAGGAAGAGAGAGGAGACAACCAGACAAAAAGAAATTACTCCGACTCCCCGTCCCACCTCTCAACCCTACCGCCCCTATCCGCCCAATCCAACCAACTCCCCTCATAAACCCCAATCCTCTCAGCATCATACCCAGCCTGCACCGCCAACTGCGCCGCAGCCTTGGCCCTCACGCCAGCCTTACAATAAAACACAATATCACCCTCCTCGCCAGCCCCAGGCTTGGGATATCCAAACCTCGTCTCGAACTCCTCCGGCGTGAGGAAAAACGCATCCGGCTGCGACGCAAGCGGCACCGAGACAGCGGACGGGATGATACCCGTAGAGCTCAACTCGGCGGGCTCGCGCACGTCAACGAGGATGAGGTTCTTTTGGGGTTTTGTTCCGGGCGAGGCCGGGAGGGAGGCGTTGATCTTTTGATTTTGTTCATTGCGGGTCAGTATCACATTGTTTCACGGGCAGTGGTTCTTTTGATGGTATACTGCTTTGTAGATGTGGGAAGGAGAATGAATGTAAGACAAGGGACAAACGTACATCTTCAAACCCCCATTGTCTGAGGGGTGATTCTCCGTCACTTTTCCATCGGCGGAAGCTCTGTTGCACTGGGGCCACCTTCATGCGGCGTACGGAGGGAATTCCGCGAGCGACACATGGCGATGGTGCGGTTCCGAAGGCTCGAGTTATTTCCGGGACGGTGCGGAATGATGATCTGATTGTGACCGGGGCGGAGATTTGCTTTGCGGTGCGGGAAGCGAGGCCCGTTAAGGGACGTCGGATGGATTGTATCGAGGCCATTTTGGTTTGTGATTGGGTTTATAAGAGTATGGGGTTGGAGTTGCAGTCCTCAGGATTGATGGAGATGGAGCTGAGGTGATGTCAGTAATGTCTGGGGTCTTACCGCCTGCCTAAAGGGGGTGTGCTAACAATACGACGGGTGAATTATGGATGGATGGGAGATTACCGTATGGTTACGTGAGATTGCAGTTAAGGGCAGGGATTCCCTGGGCGATCGGTGCAGGGGTGTCCCTTGTCAGCACTTAACCTCAGAACCTTATCTTTGCTACACTCGCTTCAGTTCATACTGAACATGAATGAAAGACTCACGATTATTATTATTCTAGGTAACGTAATCTAAAAATGGCACGTCCTTCACCGCTCCACTGTTCATGAAGCCGACAACCCTGCATGAATCGTTTAATATCATGTACGCCCGGACGACTCGGCCCCATATATCGCGAGCGTGGGAGTCCCTGTCGCTCGCCATCGGCACAAGCACGATCCTGATTTTCATCCGTTAAACAAGAAAGGGTAAAACGAAAAAAGTCACCCCCGAAAAAAAGAAAACCCAAGGTGGAAGAATGGTACAAAAAGTAGGTACAGGTATAGAAGGAAGAGAAGAAGGGTTCGGCCGTTCTATCCCAGGATAGAGAATATAACACTGGAGGACCAACGCGCAAAAAGGGAGCTGAATGAAGAGGGAAAGGGGGGAAACTGCAATTAAAGAAGTTTAGGCACGAGGGCGGAATGTAAGCAGGCAGTCATCCTAAAATGCATTAGCACTGTGTAACGGGGTCTTTTGTAGGGGAGAAATATACATACCTGAGGGAAGATAGTGGCAAACACCTTGATGTCTTCCGACTTGGGGGTAGTGGTGTGCTCCCACGTCATTTCCATACTGGCCTTGCCAATCATAGCCATCAAGTTCAGCTGAGCGTAGGTCTGGCCCAGGCAGTAATGGGGTCCAGTGCCGAAGACCAACCAGTTCTTGGGGTTCTGCTCAGCAGTGCCGGTGATCCAGCGATCCGGGTCGAAGGTGTCCGGGTTGGGGTATGCCTCCTCGTCGTGGGTTGCAGGCCAAACGGATGGGATAATCATAGATCCCTTCAGCACGGTAATCTTTTCGGTGATGGGGAAATCCTTCTTGACCAGGTAGGGGACCATGATGACGGGTGGGCGGTAACGCAGAGTCTCCTTCACGACAGCACGAGTATATTCCATCTGATCGAGCAGCTCCATGGTGATAGGCGCGTTGATATCACCATTGCGAAGACGCACATTTTCCTCCCGGACCTTCTCCAAGACCTCGGGGCGGTCGGCCATAAGCTGGAACAACCAGGTAGAGGCGGCGCTAGTCGCATCCTGGGATGCGAAGAGGAATGTGAAGACAGTCTTAGCAATTTCTTCATCAGTAAAATCCCGAAGAAGCTGGGGAGGCTTCTCCGCGGAGATGCCTTTAGCGACGTCCTCCCTATACTTCGCAGAGACCTGCTGAGCCTTGACCCAGGCGTCCATGATACACGAGACTTCTCCACCGGCAGCCATGCGAGCCTTGCTCTTGGCGGCACACTTGGCGAACTCCTCCATAACCATATCCGCGGCCTTCTTTCCGTACCATGTCTTGGTGAAAGGAAGGATAATCGGGAAGTTGACCAGCTCCAAGGCAGCCGTGATCAAATAGTAGTCATCGTTGATCTTCTGGATGATCTCATCGGTCATGTAGTGACCCACAAAGGTACGGCACGAGATGGCGGTCATCAATTCACGGAATTCAGGCATCCAGGGGGTGGGCTTGTAGTCATTGGCCTTGGACTTCTCGAGGAAGTGCTTGAAGTACTGGTTAAAGGTTTCCTCCTGGCGGGGAAGATAGCAGGTGAGCGCGGAACGGGTGAAGAGGCCATTCAAGCCTTTGCGAAATTCAACATGGTCCTTGCCATCCAGGAACACCCAATTGTCCTCTCCAAGCAACTTATGCGCCGAATCGACGACACAGGGCTTGACGTAGGCGGGAGAGTTGAAGATCTTCCTGGACATGTCACGGGTGGATGCGATGACGACGAACCTATCGAGATTTAATATCAGCCGTTGTCCCAACGGAAAAAGGATGCTCGCTCAGTGAATACTTACTTGTGGAAGACAGAAACGCAGCTGAGTTCTCCGCTGTCCCATTTGGCCTTGTACTCGTGAAACTTGGGGTTGACCGACTGAAGGAAAGGTCCCATGAATGGCAGCTTCCATCTTGGTCCCACAATGGATCCTTTCTGATAGAAGTACCGGACTGTAGTGAGTTCAACTCATCAGCCATTGTTTACAACGGATGCTGCAGAGACAGCCGGGGAGGACGCAGGAGTCGTAGACCGAAGGACAGGTTGGAAAATATTCGAGGGTCATGTAAACGACTTACATTGATCGTAGATAACAGCCGCGATAAACAGAGTCAACAGAGCCTTCCAGACATTGAAATCGCCAAGGAGGGACCCGAGCAGTCCGGAGGGCTGGAAAAGCTGAGGGACAACGGTAGCATCCGCTGAAGGGGAGACAAAGCTCCCAGTGACGTTGGCCATGATGGAATGGTTGGTGGTGCTGGGAACTCTCTCGCTTTCGCTCTCCAACAGTGAGATCAAGGAGAAGGAAGAGAATGAGTGACGGCTACCCCAGGGACACCACTTCTTTTCGGGGATTTGGCGAGAAGAACGGCCGAGAGTACAGGAGAAGGGAGGTGGGAAAAAAAAAATTAATAGTAATAGATCGGCGGACGGTTACGGATACATTACTGTCAAGGAAAAAACGCTTACGGAAACACCGGAGAAACTCCAGACGTAATTAGAGACATTCAATGGTCTCCACTTTAGTGACATTAATTAAGGGAATTCTATCCAGAAATTACGGACGGGAGACGCATCTGGAGATGTTGGTCGAACACACGCGTGGGGAGCGATTGAGCTTGAAGTATACAAAGATTACAATGGAATAGTATTCGTTACTAGTGACGAGGGTCATCCGGGATGCTGGGTTTCTGTTGGCCACTAGTCGAAGTTTCGGGACCCTTACAGCGTCCGGTATTGACAGGGGGTCCAATACGAGTCGCCCATTAAGCCTATCATGATCCCTGTTCGTTACATTGCACGAACTTCCCCCCTGACATCCTGGTATTGGTATAGTACTACTAGTATTTGGGAACGAACTTCTGCACCTTTTCTGCAGTGCTCATCTCAGTCCATCCTACTACTTAGTAGTAGTACTGACTAGTCCTAGTTCTAGCGGGTGGCCTCTCCGGTTCCATGATACAATGTACATTGTAAATAACAGTACACACCCTCTCCATGGACCAATACTGGTAGATACGATTCTGACTTTTTCAATTGTTTCCCCCCCTTTTTTTATGATGTTTTGTTCTTTCTCGTTTTTTATTTTGAATCATTGGAAACAATGACCGGTTCGGTTCTAGAATTGAGTCAGGAACTGGAACCATTAAAGAATTGTTCTGATCCCCCAGTGACAAAGGTTCACTAACTATTGGATCCATAACTAATTAACTAACCCGATTATTTATTATTAATAAGGTCGAGTTATCATGAATCAAGCAATCAAGCAATCAATCAATCAATCAATAGATAATTACGGAGTACAAGAAAGTCGCCCTAGTTATAGTTACAGTAGATGTTAAGACAGTGAAGTATATCATCAACCGAACCAAAACAGAGTCCTCATGGTAGAACCCCATAGATACGGGCACATGGGTGGAAATAAATGTCTTGCTTGCCCTTACTTCGGGAAATTGTTCGAGAATGAGCTGTCGAGTAATCAGCGAAAAGGTGATTCGGTTGTTGAGGTCCCGATCATTCGTTCCCCTTGGCCTGTGCACGTGCACTGTTTCTCAGGCCAGTTAGTCACTGATTGCCTGGGGCAGGCAATCACAACTATACATGGATGGATGGATGGATCCACGATTGCCTGATTAAATGCCTAATTAAGCAGCATCAGTGGACTGGAGTCTGGTGAGTTCTTCGATTCAATGAAATTCCCGGCATAGGCATTAGCCGGTGGCTCAATTTTTTTGTTGCATTATGGGTCAAGGACAGAGAATCATTCGTAGGTTCAACCTTAGTCCTTCTGAGCTTCCACGCTGGACTATTCATAATTCATAAGCCTCCGATCTTCTGAACAACTACCCAGGTTAGGGCTTGAGTCGATTAAACCCAGTGGCCAATCAAGATGTCTGGATCTAGACTCGAGGTAAAACCATAACCCAAATCAGGTTCATATAGTAACCGTGAGAAACTTATCATATTATATGTATGTCTTTTCTGGTTTATGGTGCCCTGGGCATTTTGTTCTTCTTCTGCTTCTTTTTTTAGGGCTATTGTTGTTGTTTCCAGTATACTAGTAGTAGAGTATAATGGTAGGTACACCGACGACATATATTTGCACCAATAGCAGGTACATATCACTAAACATGAAAAATGTACAAATCGAAGTAAGAATCAACAGTGGCTGTATACTCTAGCAAACATGAAGACAATGGAATTAAAGACCACCTCCACGGTGATGTGCCTAGCCCAATGCCCCATAGCCATCGGACGAAGAGCCACCTTGTCATTTATGTGCTTGCGTGGAGGAGCGATGGTACTCTAGGATTCCTCATTGGTATGCCTAATCCAGGAATGGGCTAAGGTAATTTCAAAAACGACTTAGGTAGCTAAAGCGAACTGCCATGGTCGGCCCCATTGCATTGCGTTGCGCTTGCTCATATTCACTCAAAGCTTTCAAATTTGAGTCTATCAATTAACTAGACCCATACGAGTAGAAATAAAAATGTCTTTGACATCCAGGCCTTATGTGCATCAAATAACGAAGGATCATTCCAACTCATACCAAACGTAACCACCATACCCATATCTTACCGTCCAAAACCAAACCAGCCGCGCCGACCTCCCTTCTTTTCCTCTGCGGCTGGCTCAGTTGAGACCGGAGCCGCACCCTGGGTGCTCGCGTTCTCACGGGGGTAGTCAATGTAA